CTATAGTTTTCAGCATACAGATCCTTTACATCTTTGGTTAGATTTATCCCTAGGTATTTTGTGCTTCTTGGTGCAATTATTAATGGGATCCGTTTCTTTATTTGTCTTTCCGTTGCTTCATTGTTAGTGTATAAGAATGCAACTGATTTCTGTACATTGATTTTGTATCCTGCAACTGTGCTGAATTTATGCATCAGTTCTAGCAGACTTTTGGTGGAGTATATCGGATTTCCATGTATAATATCATGTCATCTGCAAAAAGTGAAACCTTAACTTCCTCTTTGCCAATTTTGATGTCTTTTATTTCCGTTTGTTGTCTGATTGCTGATGCTAGCACTTGCAACACTATGTTAAACAACAGCGGTGAGAGTGGACATCCCGGTCGTTTTCCTGATCTCAGGGAAAAAGCTCTCAGTTTTTCCCCATTGAGGATGATGTTAGGTGTGGGCGCTTCATAAATGGCTTTTATGATCTTTAAGTATGTTCCTTCTATCCCGACTTTCTCGAGGGCTTTTATTAAGAAACGATGCTGAATTTTGTCAAATGCATTTTCTGCATTGATTGACAGGATCATATGGTTCTTCCCTTTTCTTTTATTAATGTGATGCATCACGTTGATTGATTTGCGAAGGTTGAAACAACCCTGCATCCCAGGAATGAATCCCAGTTGATCATGGTGAATAATTCTCTTCATATGCTGTTGAATTCGATTTGCTAGTATCTTATTGAGAATTTTTGCATCCATATTCATGAGGGATATTGGCCTGTAGTTCTGTTTTTTTACTGGGTCTCTGTCTGGTTTAGGAATCAATATCATACTGGCTTCATAGAATGATTCTGGAAGTTTTCCTTCTCTTTCTATTTCTTGGAATAGCGTGAGAAGAATAGGTATTATCTCTGCTTTAAACGTCTGGTAGAACTCCCCTGGGAAGCCATCTGTTCCTGGACTCTTATTTGTTGGAAGATTTTTGATGACTGATTCAATTTCTTCGCTGGTTATGCGCCTGTTCAAGCTTTCTATTTCCTCCTGATTGAGTTTTGGAAGCGTGTGTAAGTTTAGGAATTTGTCCCTTTCTTCCAGGTTGTCCAGTTTGTTTGCATATAATTTTTCATAATATTCCCTGATAATTACTTGTATCTCTGAGGGATTGGTTGTAATAATTCCATTTTCATTCATGATTTTATCTATTTGGGTCATCTCCCTTTTCTTTTTGAGAGGTCTGGCTAGAGGTTTATCAATTTTGTTTATTTTTTCAAAAAACCCATTCTTGGTTTTGTTGATCTGCTCTACAGGTTTTTTTAGATTCTATATTGTTCATTTCTGCTCTGATCTTTATTATTTCTCTTCTTCTGCTGGGTTTGGGCTGTCTTTGTTGTTCTGCTTCTGTTTCCTTTAGGTGTGCTGTTAGATTTTGTATTTGGGATTTTTCTTGTTTCTTGAGATAGGCCTGGATTGCAATGTATTTTCCTCTCAGGACTGCCTTCGCTGCTTCCCAAAGCGTTTGGATTGTTGTATTTTCATTTTCGTTTGTTTCCATATATTTTTTAATTTCTTCTCTAATTGCCTGGTTGACCCATTCATTCTTTAGTAAGGTGTTCTTTAACCTCCAAGCTTTGGGAGGTTTTCCAGACTTTTTCCTGTGGTTGATTTCAAGCTTCACAGCATTGTGGTCTGAAAGTATGCATGGTATAATTTAAATTATTGTATACTTATGAAGGGCTGTTTTGTGACCCAGTATGTGATCTATCTTGGAGAATCTTCCATGTGCACTCAAGAAGAAAGTATATCCTGTTGCTTTGGGATGCAGAGTTCTAAATATATCTGTCAAGTCCATGTGATCCAATGTATCATTCAGGGCCCTTGTTTCTTTATTGACCATGTGTCTAGATGATCTATCCATTTCTGTATGTGGAGTGTTAAAGTCCCCTGCAATTACCACATTCTTATCAATAAGGTTGCTTATGTTTGTCAGTAATTGTTTTATATATTTGGGGGCTCCTGTATTCGGTGCATAGTCATTTATAATTGTTAGCTCTTCCTGATGGATAGACCCTATGATTATTATATAATGCCTTTCTTCATCTCTTGTTCCAGCCTTTAATTTAAAGTCTAGTTTGTCTGATATAACGGTGGCTACTCCAGCTTTCTTTTGACTTCCAGTGGCATGACAAATAGTTCTCCATCCCCTCACTCTCAATCTGAAGGTGTCCTCAGGTCTAAAATGAGTCTCTTGTGGGCAGCAAATAAATGGGTCTTGTTTTCTTGTCCATTCTGATACCCTATGTCTTTTGGTTGACGCATTTAGTCCATTTACATTCAGTGTTATTATAGAAAGATATGGGTTTAGAGTCCTTGTGATGTCTGTAGGTTTTGTGCTTGTCGCAATGTCTCTGTCACTTTGTCCCTTAGGATCTCTTGTAGGGCTGGTTTAGTGCTGACAAATTCCTTCAGTTTTTGTTTGTTTGGGAAGACCTTTGTCTCTCCTTCTATTCTAAATGACAGACTTGCTGCATAAACGATTTTCGGCTGCATATTTTTTCTGTTCATCACATTGAAGGTCTCCTGCCCTTCCTTTCTGGCCTGCCAAGTTTCAGTAGAGAGATCCGTCTCGAGTCTTATTGGTCTCCCTTTATATGTTAGAGCACGTTTATCCCTAGATGCTTTCAGAATTTTCTCTTTATCCTTGTATTTTGTCAATTTCACTATGATATGTTGTGCAGAAGATTGATTCAGTTACATCTGAAAGGAGTTCTCTGTGCCTCTTTGATATCAATGCCCTTTTCCTTCCCCAGATCCAGGAAGTTCTCAGCTATTATTTCTTCAAGTACACTTCCAGGCTCTTTCCCTCTCTCTTCCTCCTCTGGAATAGCAATTATGCGTAGATTATTTCTCTTTAGTGCGTCACTTAGTTCTCTAATTTTCCCCTCATACTCCCAGATTTTTTATCTCTCTTTTTCTCATCTTCTTCTTTTGCCATAATTTTATCTTCTAGTTCACCTATTCACTCCTGTGACTCTTCAATCCAAGCCGTGGTCATCTCCATTTTATTTTGCAGGTCATTAATAGCATTTTTTAGCTCCTCCTGGCTGTTCCTTAGTCCCTTGATCTCTGTAGCAATAGATTCTCTGCTGTCTTTTATACTGTTTTCAAGCCCAGCGATTAATTTTATGAGTATTATTCTAAATTCACTTTGTTATATTCTTTAAATCGTTTTTGATCAGTTAGTTAGCTGTCGTTTTTTCCTGGACATTTTTTTGAGGGGAATTCTTCTTTTTCGTCATTTTGGATAGTCCTGGAGTGGTGTAGAAGTGCGGGGAACTTCCTCTGTGTTGTCTTGAATAACTTGCGTTGGTGGGCAGGGCTGCAGTCAGAACTGATATCTGCCCCCAGCCCACCGCTGGGTCCACAGTCAGACTGGTGTGTTCCTTCTCTTTCCCTCTCTTAGGGGTGGGATTCACTGTGGGGTGGCGTGGCCCATCTGGGATACTTGCACACTGCCAGGCTTGTGGTGCTGGGGATCTGGCGTATTAGCCTGGGTGGATAGGCAAGGTGCACAGGGGCAGGAGGGGCAGGCTCAGCTCGCTTTTCCTTCGGTAATCTGCTTCTGTAGGGGCCCTGTGGCACCGGGAGGGAGTCAGACCCCTCGCTGGAGGGATGGATCCGTAGAAGCACAGTGTTGGGTGTTTGCGTGGTGCAAGCAAGTTCCCTGGCAAGAACTGGTTCCCTTTGGGACTTTGGCTGGGGGATGGGCAGGTGAGATGGTGCTGGCGAACACCTTTGTTCCTGGCCAAGCTGCGCTCTGTTGGCCGGGGCTCAACAACTCTCCCTCTGTTGTCCTCCAGCCCTCCCGTTTCCAAGCAGAGCTGTTAGCTTATAACCTTCCAGATGTCATGTCCCGCTTGCTGTCAGAACACACTCCGTCTGTCCTGTCCACTTTTGCAAGCCAGACTCAGGGGCTCTGCTTGGCCGGTGGGCTTCCCCTCTGCCCTGGCTCCCTCCCGCCAGTCCATGTAGCGTGCACCGCCTCTCCACCCTTCCTACCCTCTTCCATGGGCCTCTCCTCTGCACTTGGCTCTGAAGAATCCATTCTGCTCATCTTCTGGTGGTTTTCTGGGTTATTTAGGCAGGTGTAGGTGGACATTAAGTGATCAACAGGACACGGTGAGTCCAGCGTCCCCCTACGCTACCATCTTCTCCCTTGATTTCTGAAAATGTGTTTCACAATATTGTCATATAATTGTAGATTGCCATGATATTTTCAGCTTACATGAAAAAGACCTTTGAATTTGTGAAAGTTCACACTTTAATACTTCTTTGGTGGACACAAATATATTTGTAAACCCAAACATAGACTGACATGCCCTTGACCCTATTTTTACTCTGTTATCTGCAGAAAACATCACTCTAATATTTTCCTTAAGGAAAGAACATACATCCTCAAGGTGGGAAGTAACAGCGCAGCCAATATAAGAACAAAGTGCACAGATATTCAAATGTCCTTTCAGTACTCTCTCTATGCAACCACCTACATCGTCATATTCATCCCTGGTCTTTCGGCCAACAGTGCAGCCTTGTGGGTTCTGTGCCACTTCATCAACAAGAAAAATAAAGCCATTATTTTCATGATCAGCCTCTCTGTAGCTGATCTTGCTCATATGCTGTCTTTACCTCTCCGGATTTACTATTTCATTAGCCACCACTGGCCCTTCACAAAGGCCATTTGCCTGCTGTGCTTCTACTTGAAGTATCTCTACATGTGTGCCAGCATTTGTTTCCTGATGTGCATCAGTCTTCAGAGATGTTTCCTTCTCCTCAAGCCCTTTAGAGCCAGAGACTGGAAGCGTAGGTATGATGCAGGCACCAGTGCTGGCATCTGGATCATTGTGGGGAATGCCTGTTTGCCACCTCCAATTCTGAGGAGTGCTGGCTTAGCCAACAACACTGAATACTGCTTTGCCAATTTAGGGTTTCAGCACATTATCATGGCTTCCTCCATTCGTATAACTGTAGCTAAACTTGGAAGTTTTTTTTTTTTGTTTGTTTGTTTTTTTTTTTTTTTTTTTTACCTGTTGCCATTATAACGTATTGCACATGGAAAACGAGAAAATCTTTACAGGAATTCCAAGTTCCTGCTCAGAATACCAAAGAGAGAAAGAAGTCTTTGTTGCTGGTTCTGATATATGCAGTGGTGTTCATTGTGTGTTTCCCTCCTTACCACCTCAACTTCCCATTCTATATGATGGTGAAACAACATGTCTTTTCAAACTGTTCTTTTTTAAGATCATCCTATGTTTTTACATCATTTCTCTATGTCTTGCAGATCTGAATTGCTGCCTTGATCGCGTTGTATATTATTTTACGACCTCATAATTCCACAATAGGTTTTTGGACTACAGTGGTTGGCTCCTCAGTCACGTGTGAGATGCAAGGACAGTGCTTTGGAAATTCATCACAGGAAGGAGAAACCTCAAACTATCTCTCTTACAAATTTGAATGATTCCAAGATAATACAATCAAATAAATAACTAGAATAATCTATGTTCTCTATCAGTTTAGCTATGTCACCTTGAATATTTTTAAAAAATGGTACTGTTCAATGCCTTAAGAAAACATGGCCTCCTTCCTTTCATCTCCAAAATCCTCCTTCTGAAGGAATTATTCATGACTATATTTTCTATCCAAATGGAAACATGCTGTTCTATGGATAGTAAAATATCTTATTTATAGAAAGTAATAAGCATCAGAATAAATTGCACACCTGTTCCTCAGAAATAGATCCAATGTTCTCACTTTCTCCTGCAAGAAACAAAAAGTAAATTTAGAATCAGTGGACATAGGTGAATTGTCCAAAAATTGTAAAATATACAGAATAGGATCCTGACTTTATTTTAAAAATACATACTAGAGCAAAGTAGACTAAAGAGGAAACATTTTTAATATTAATAGGAGTTGTGAAAATTAATATCCTTAGAGCTTGAAATATCTATGAGAATTTCCATTTTCCCCTTGAAGAAATGAACAATTCAGATTCATACCAAATATCTCAAATGTATCATGAAATTCATACACAACACATACAACTTAAACACAAAACACAGTTGTATTCTAACACGTTTCATAAGCTTCAGAATTTCAGGGTTTGCAATCAAATCTTTTTGTTTGAACATCTATGAGTGTGTGTGATGCGATGCTTATTTGTGTATATTGTCAGTCAGTTAGAAAATGTTTATTAATTTGAAAATTAAAATCAATTGTGCAACGAAATGTTTATATTACTTCTTCTATATACAACCTCAGTCACAACTTTGCTTGATAGATTTTAAAGAATGAATTAATAAAGAATAATACTCATGTGTATAGTTTTTTAGTTAGACCTCATTACTCACAAGTAAAGACACATATAAAGAGAATATTGGTGAATTGAATATCATTATGAATGCAGAATGAAAATTGATATTGTTTCAAATCTTTGTGACTTTTTAATAAAATTTTGTAATACAAATCAGTATCATTAAAAGTTTTTAAACTTAAAATTCACATATGGGGTTTCATTAAAATGGTATTTTATTTTTTTAAGTTTACTTATTTATTTTGAGATGGAGTGCAAGCAGGGGAGGGGCAGAAAGGGAGAATCTCAAACAGGCTCTGCACGTTCAGTACAGAGCCCCACACAGGGCTCAAATTCATGAAACTGCGAGGTCATGACCTGAGCCAAAATCAAGAGTCAGACACTCAACAGACTGAGTCACACAGGTACCCATAAAATGGTATTTTATAAAGCAGTGGCCAATTTTATAAGGTTATAAAGTCTTACTTTCTTGTCTTTATAAGGTTGTAAATTCACAACCTATTTTCTCTGTATGAATTTTTTTAATAGTGCTTGTGCATCAGAACAGAAACAGAAAATAACATTTGCTACAATGGGGGAAAATAGAGTAAAACTTAATGCATAAACTTGCCAAATCACTATTTGGTACACCTGAAACTAATGGAACATTATGTGTCAACTACAGTCAAATAAAAAAAAAACTAATTTAAAAAACAGAGGAAAGTGCTTTTGGCAGATGAAGATGGTGGCAGAGTAGAAGGATCACAGGCTAGTCTTTTCCCACAAACATGACTAGATAACAATGAAATCAACATAAATACCACAGAAACTGTCCTGAAGACTGATAGAAGAAACTCCACAATTAAAGGGAGAGAAGAGGCATCATCAGAGGTAGGAAGTGCAGAGACATGGCTTAGGTGAGAAAGAGATTGCAGCTGGTGCTGAGGGGAGCGAGCCATGGTCATGGAGAAGGGCAAGAAAGAGAGGAACACACAAGGAGAATATTTTCCCTAAACAATTGGCTTGGAAAACAAAAGGGGCAGAATTTTGTGAGTTCTTTGCAACAAGCAGGGCTTAAAGCCTGGAGTTTTAAAGGTCTGAGACCTTGGCCCTGAGGACACTGTGCTACTTCTGGAGAGAAGGCAGACAACCTGGGAGCAGACAGCATGAAAACAAATATCTGAAGAACTCCTGGGGCACACAGAGGGGAAATTATTAGCTCTTCTTGGAGTATGCCCCCTGAGAGACAGAATTCATGGAGATAACTCTCCTGGAACAAAGGAGCTGTCCAGTGCCATTTCCCTACCCTGCCCCTCAGCATAAACACAGAACCACCTGCTAGAAGAAGCTTAGTTCCTACACTGGCTTCCTAACTTTCTTACAGCAAATCCCAAACCCTGGAACTCTGGTGGGACTGTCCTTCTCAGTCAAGCTTGCCTCAGTCCCAGTGCAGCAGGTCCCTAACTCAGAAAATAAACAGAGACTCCTGTCCATACAACATCTTCTGATCAGAGAGTCCTGCAAGTCCTCAGTTCTGGCGGAAGTGGTCAAATACCATTTCACAAGAAGACCAGAGTACAGCTGGCTAAAACTCACCACATTCTGGTCAGGCACCAAACACTGCCAACAGCAGGTAAAGAAAGCCTCTGCAGATAATTCGACTGGATAGAGCAGCAAAGACCCAACAGCAGAGAACATGCAGCACACAATGGAGAAACTCCCTGAAGAAGCAGTCTTCTTAATAATGCCACTACTTTCAGAATCAGGTGGCATAACTGGATTTTCTAACACAGAGAAGAAGGCAGAGGTTTAGACAAAGTGCAAGGAGGCAGGAATTCATCCCAAATGAAAGAACAAGACATGGCCATGGCCAGAAATCTAAGTGAAAGAGGTATAACATGTTTGACAGAGAATTTAAAGCAAAAATCATGAAGATACACACTGGGATTGAGAAATAGAAGACATCAGTGAGACCCTTACTACAGAGGTAAAAGACTTAAAAAATAATCAGGGATGAAGAGTGAAATAAATGAGATTGTAAATAAGCTTCCTGTAATGAAAAGCAGGCTGGAAAGTGTTGAGGAATGAATTAGTGACCTAGAAGAAAAAAATAACAGAAAATAATGAAGATTAACAAAAGAGAGAAAGAAGAATTATGCAATATCAGAATAGACATAGGGAACTCAATGACTACATCAAACATATATATTATCAAATATAATAACATCTGTATTATAGGAGTCAGAAGAAGAAGAGACAAAAGGAGGCATAAAATTTATTCGAAGAAATAATAGCTAAAAATTTCCCTAATCTGGGGAGGGAAACAATATCCAGACATGGGAAGCACAGAAAATTTCCATCCAAATCAATAAAAGTAGGCTAACACCAAAACGTACATTGTTTCTTCTCAACAGAAACTTGGCAAGCCAGGAGGAAGTTGTATGATATATTTTAAAAAATGCTGAATAGGAAAAATTTGCAGCCAAGAATACTCTACAGAGCAAGGCTATCATTCAGACTAGAGAGTTAAAGGTTTTCCCAGGCAAACAAAGATTAAAGGAGTTTGTGACTACTAACCCAGCCCTGCAAGAAATATTAAAGGGGTCTTTTAAGTGCAAAAGAGAGACAAAATGTGACCAAAAAAAAAAAAAAAAGATCAGAGAAAATCTGCAGAAACAATGACGAAACAAGTAACACAGTGACATTAAATATATATCTATCAATAATTACTCTGAATGTAAATGGACTAAATGTTCCAATCAAAAGAAATAGGGTGTCAGAATAGAGAGAAAAAAACAATATCCATCTATATGCTGCCTACAAGGGACTCACTTTAGCCCTACAGATACCTGCAGATTGAAAGTGAGGGGATGGATAGACATTTATCATTCAAATGGATGCCAAAAAAAGGTGGAGTAGCAATACTTATATCAGGAAAATTAGACTTAAAACACTTTAAAAAGAGACAAAGAAGGGCATTATATTCTCATAAAGGGGACAATCACACAAGAACATATAACAATTGTAAATATTTATGCACCCATCATGGAATACCCAAAATAATTAATAACCAACATAAATGAACTAATTAATAATAACACAATAATATTAGCAGAGTTTAACAAACTCTCATGTCAAGGAACAGATCATCTAAACAGAAAATAAGGCAGAAAACGATGGCTTTGAGTGACACACTGGACCAATAATGCAGCAGCAGAAAGAGACATTAAGAATCAATCCCATTTACAATTGTACCAAAAATAATAAGATACCTAAGAAGAAACCTGACCAAAGAAGTAAAAGAGGTGTACTCTGAGAACTATAAAACACTGATGAAAGAAATTGATAATGGCACAAAGAAATGGAAAGATATTCCATGCTTATGGATTGGAAGAATAAATATTGTTAAAATGTCTATACTACTGAAAGCAATCAACATATTTAATGCAATCCCTGTCAAAATACCAACTACATTTTTCCCAGAGCTAGAACCAACAAGCCTAAAATTTGCATGGTACCACAAATGACCTTGAATAGCCAATCTTGAAAAAGAAAAGTGAAGCTGGAAGCATCACACTTCCAGACGTTAAGTTATAATACAAAGTGGTAGTGATCAAAATAGTATGACACTGGCACAAAAATAAACACATAGATCAACAGAACATAATAGAAAACCTAGAAATGAACACACGATCTTTGATAAAGCAGGAAAGAATATCTAATGGGAAAAAGACAGTCTTTTAATAAATGGTGTTGAGAAAATTAGCATCAATGTAAAAGAAACTGGATCGCTTTTTCATGCCATATACAAAATGAATTCAAAATGGGTTAAATTCCTAAACCTAAGATTTGGATTCATAAAAATCCTAGAGGAGAACACAGTCAGTAACGTCTTTGACATCGGTCATATTAACTTCTTTCTAGATATGTCTCCAGAGACAAGGGAATCAAAAGCACAAAGAAACAGCTAGGACTTCATCAAAAGCACAAAGAAACTGCTGGGACTTCATTAAAATAAAAACTGCAAAGCGAAGGAAACAATCAACAAAACTATAAGGTAACCTACATAATGGGAGAAAACATTTGCAAATGACATATCTGATAAAGGGTTAGTACATAAAATATATAAAAACTTATAAAACTTAACACCCCAAAATGAATAATACTTTCAAAAATGGGCAGAAGACACAAAAATGTTTTCAAAGATATACAGATATTCAATGGAAACATTAAAAGATGCTCAATGTCACTGATCATCACGGAAATAACAAATCAAAACTACAATGAGATATCAACTAACAGCTGTCAGAATAGCTAAAACAAAAAGATAAGAAACAACAGGTGTTAGGTAAGAATGTGGAGAAAGGTGAGCCCTTGTGCACTGTTAATGGGAATGCAAAGTGGTGCTGTCAGTCTGGAAAACAGTATAGAGATTCCTCAAAAAGTTAAAAATATAACTATCCTATGATCCAGCAATTGCACTACTAGGTATTTACCCAAAGAATACAGAAATACTAATTCACAGTGATACCAGTGTTTATAGCAGCATTATCTACAATAACAAAATTGTGGAAACAGCCCAA